ATACTTGGATTATGGGAATGAACAAAAAACTACAAAAATAACTTGTTACTTATTGTTTTTAACGAGTTGGATTATATTATTTTACACATTAAATTTAACTAGTTAAGTCACAAAGTTATTATGAATTAAAACTTAAAAGTAACTGGTTAAGTTAGAAAGTTACTTAGAAAATAACGTTCTAACTAGGTAGTTTGTGCCCAGCTTTGGATTTTAGAACCGCGTTTGAACGTAATGTTCGTAAACTAATTAGCAAACATATTGATTGTATTATAAAAATCAATGAATTTAACCATAAATTCATAAAAAATTCTTGTAATATTTTATTTGATAACACTATGTCACTATGTATAATAATAATGTAAATTTTGAAGTATAACTAGTATTGTAGGACATACATCTTACAACGGATACAATTAAATTTTTAGTTGATACCTACAAATCCCGGAAAAAAAATCTCCTACCCTAGGAAAAATTAATTCCCAGACTACAATAGGTAGTACTTTTATTTGATACACTAGTTGTTGGTATGGTTAAAATAAGAATAAATAATTTATAAGCTTCAGGTAAAAATATGTCTTTCAATGGATCTTGTTTAATAATTTTAACCATGTCATAAATGTGTAATAAATTTTGATATTTTACATCACTATACAAAACCTCCAATTCAACTTTTAATGTATTAATATTATAAAATATATTAGGATAAGTTGATTTCAAATTATTTAAAGCATTTACAGGAAATGTACAAGAATATTCTTTAAATTTAGTTACATCAGCTAACTGCAAAAAAAGTAATTTATTTGTATCTTGAAATCTAGTATTTAATTGCATTAGAATATTATCAATTATTTCATAAAACAATATTTTAAAATTTGATTAATTGTTAGATTCATTTCTTGTAGTTTTGGGAGGTTTTGTAAGAGTATCTGCTTGATTAAATAATTTTAAAAATTCAGGTTCATTTCTTTTTTTATTTATAAGATCATATGTTATATTTATTTTTCTCAAGCAAAATTCTACATCAAATGATTTATTTTGGAGTATGTTAAATAAATTGTCAGTATATATTAATATATCACTAAATAGCAGTGCTAAGAAAGCAAATTCAAAAGTTTTTAAATTTTTAAAATTACCAATAGCACCACAAATAGATTCAGATGACGATTTTGGATCTTTGCTAATACAGTCAAAAACATTTATAAACCCAGACCACTCATTAACTATTGTGTGTAAAATTTTTGACCGTGAGGACCATCTTGTTTGAACAAATTGAGGAATTCTTTTCCCTACAATAGTATCTACAAAATTAGTACGTGAAGTGGAATTGTGAAAAAAATCAGCGATACCAGTGAGGTTAGCAAAAAATATACGACATTTAGCATTTATACAACAACCATGTTGCAATACCAAATTTAATCCGTGAGCTAGGCAGTGTGTAAATAAAGCATTAGGTGCAACTTCCTTAACTCTAGCCTGTAAACCTGTTCAATGCCCAGACATTACACATGCCCCATCATAACATTGTCCAACTAATTTATTTTCTATATCAAACTCATGTAAAACAGAATTAACCAAATTAAATAAACCTTGAGCCGTGCGGTCTTCACTAACATTATGAAAACCCACGAAACGCTCAACCAATTCAGATTTATCTGTAACATAATATCTAATTATTATTGAACATTGTGTTTTTTGACTGATATCTGTAGTGTCATCAATTTGAATGGAATAAAATTTACATTGTTTGATTTCATTTTTTATTTGGTTTATGAAAAATTCAGAAATACATGAAATTAAATCATTTTGCATGGACTTGGACATACCTGAAAATATGTTTTTAATATGCATATCAAACAACTCTCTAAAATTCCCTTTATTTAATGAATCACTGCTTTCATCATGACCTCTAAATGCCAACTCTTGTTTCCCAAAAATAAAACCAAATCGATTAAATACTCCATAAATAAACGATTTAATCTCACATTCTCATTATAATTTTTTTTAAACAAATTACCATGTTCATTTACAACATCTAATATAGTAAAAGAATTTTTTTCGAGGTTTTTTAATCCTAAATGATTATGAATATGTTCTTTTGAAGTTAAAGTTAAGTTTAAATTTAATCACAAATGTACAATTATTATTATTATTATTAAGATATTTTACATTATCGTCAACATATAATATTAGGAAACGTAATATTTTATTTCGGGAATTAAATTTTTACATAATTATAGATACATAGTATAAAACAAAATATTATTGTTAATGTTTGAAAACTATAATAGGTATAAATATAAAAGTAAATTGTATTCAATAGGTAGGAATATACTTCAAAGTTTGAACATAAATTAATTTGTACACATTAATTCGATCTTTGTGTAAGATTGTCACAAGCGTTAAACACCTAGGTACTATTAAGGTTATAAATTTAAGCTGTTACTCACCAGGGACTTAGGGACACGTAGAATTTGATGCACAAAAATTAAGTATAACACACTTGGAACACGATGTTTTCGATATAACCGATAGGCGATGGGTATACCAAAATTGATGTCAACCTTTCACGTCAACAACTAGACACAATGTCATCCTAAATTGAAAAAAAAATATGTACTCGACGAGTTAGTGTAGATAACTAACTTATAGATAAGCAGGTATACAAAAAAACCAGTATTTTGATATTTTATATTATTTCGTCGCGAGTGTCGGCAATTATTCGAGATACCAACGATTGCAATTTCAAAAGTACAAAAAAGGTATCAATCAAGTCTATATCTAAGATTTAGACACACGTCAAACAGAAAAGGTATAACAATTATACATAGGTACCTACAAAAAGAACAAAAAGTAGTATTTATCACAAATAAAGTAAACATGGTATTAATAATATTTTTAATTTTAACAGGTGAAAGTAGAACCAAGTTAATGTTGACACTCGTAATCAATTTTAATAAACAATTTTTATTGGGAAAGAAATCCATGATTATTAATATAATTATTTGTTTGATGTGTGTTAACACTAGAATTCTATCATCATCATATTAACTTATTAAATAGGCCTCTATCATAAATAATCTACCTAAACATACAAAACTACTAAATATGAATATATTTATTATTTAATATAACTATAATATTAATAATATTAAATTATGTTATAGGAAAAAACACAGCAGTTGCATGGAGAGTGTGGAAATCCCAGCCCATTTCATGACTATTTAATATCCCTGCCCTAAGGGTAGGAAATATTCTAATAGTGTTTAAAAAAAAAAAAATTAAAAACCTACCTAATAATAAGAGTTATTCATTTCAGTTGTAATATATCCTATAAATTATTTATTTCAGATACTTCATTATGCAAAAAAAGTAACATGGTACTCGATTATCATAGAAGTTTTTATATTGATAATTTGTGCTTCTATGATGGTGATGAAATTAGGTTAGTCAGAAAAAACTGTAGTTCTTACATATTATACGTAGCTGGTCTTGTGGTACATAGACTTAATCCTTTTACAGTTACATTGAAATTTTTTTAGATTTTTCGGTAAGAGAATTAACTACTTACGTGGAATCTTGTTTTAAATTTTCAATCCTTAGCTATAAAAACTGAACATTTTATAATTTATTAATTACGATGATTAATAATTTTCGAGATTTTGAAAAATTCTGTCAAAATTCGATGTTAAAATGCTTATAAAAAAAAATTGTGCCTATGTATTTTTAATATTTTTCAACTGATATTCTAACAATATATCAGGAGCCTTGTATTAAATGTTTACACTTTTTGGCCCAACAGATAAAACTTAATTGATATTTATAGAAAAAAAAACTAAAAAATTGAAAACTGAAAATGTCCGTAAACGGCTCAAACAGAGTCAAAATATTTTCAAAATTGTATGGTGTATAGGAAATGCTAATATAAACATTCAGTGAAATTTTCATGTATCTACAGTAATTCGTTTTTTAATTACAACAAAAAAAGGAAATTGCCACATGAGAAATCGAGTGAATATCCAATGTTGTAAAAATTTGAATTTCAAACGCTCATAAAAATTTAATTTGACTTTCCGGTAGAGATTTTTTTATTGATAAAGGTAGACAATCTTATGAGTAATCTTGTATTAGATTTTCAAATCTTAGATTTAAAAAGAAAAATTTTTACGAATTCTTAACTCAAAATAATTTGCTAATTTTCGTGATTTTTCCATATTTTGTCAATTTTTGAACTTTAAATGCTTATAAAAAAAAAATTGTGACTAAGGATTTTTAATATTTTTCATCTGCCTTTGAAACAATATATTAGGAGCCTTCTATTAAATTTTCAAGCTTTCGCAACCAACAAATAAAATTTTATTGATATTTCTAGAAAAAAAACTAAAAAAAAACGAAAAATGAACATGTCCCTAAACTGTTCAAAATAAATCAAAATATTTTGAAAATGTTATCGTGTATAGAAGATGCAAATATAAACAACCAGTGAAAATTGCATGTACCTACGGTCATTTGTTTTAAAGTTACACCAAAAACCAAATTCAATTTTCTGAAAAATCGATTTTGCGTAAAAATTCCCGTTTTTCCTTAATTTTTCTTTTGTTTTTCTTGGCGCTTTTGAAAAGTACTGGGAATTTTAAATTTTGACCTCCCCAATGCACCAACGATATTCACTTTCCAATCGAACAAGATACTGAAGTCGAAAATCGAAGCATTATTTCGACTACTTATCGTGTACACAGATACAAAAAAAAAAAAAAAAACACACATCATTGTAAAATCAATACATTCATTGTTTCACTCAGAATCCAAAAGTTAGTATGATGAAAAAGTGTTTACAGGACAAAAAAAATAATAAACATTAATTTAAAGCCAATACAAAACTATAACTATTAGACATAAAAAAATTAAAAAATTAATAACAGTAAAGGTAAAAACAATAGAATTAAAATAAATTTATGAAACTTCTATAACATTTTTACTTTACAGTAACTTAATTAAGAAAGATGAAGAGAACAATAGTTTCTTATTTTAAAGCTACAGCTGCAGATTCTAGTAAAAATTCAGAAGAAAAAGCAAGTTCATCACCATCAGCACAGTTAACTGAATTAGATGAAGAAGAAAATTGTGTTATAGTATCATCCAACTTACTTTCTGTAAAATCATCCGCCTTAAAAGAACGCCATTATAATATTAAGTGGGAACAAAAATACAAATGGCTAGTATATAATGAAGAAAAAAAAGGTGCATTTTGTAAACTATGTCAACATTTTATGAAAAATGACCTAAAAGTTCTCCAAAAGACAGGTGGAGTGTTTATTACTGTTCCATTCACATCTTACAAGAATGCTTTAGGTAAAAATGGAAAATTAGAGAAACATGAACATTCATCAGCTCACACTGTAAGTATAGAAATGGAAAAAATCAAAAATAATGCGATGAAAAAACCGATTCATACTCAAATCGTTCAGCAAAGTGAAAGTGAAACAGAAAAAGTTTAAAAATTCTTTTGAGAGGCTTGTACTTTTTGGTAAAAGAAGAAATAGCTCATACTACTAAGTATGGAAGTTTAATTGAAAGTATTTTTGACAAGTTAAATGATGATTTTAAAACATGGAGATAATCTTAAAGTGATAGATCAAATTATAGCAGAAAAGACACAGCCTGTGAATTATTAGTTTGTATGTGTGAAATTTTGAGAAATGAACTGAAGAAAACACTGAAAAACAAAAAAATTTCTATTTTAGCAAATGAAAGTACTTCTTTGAAAAATGAAATGGAACTAAGTATAATGTTTAGATTTGTAGAAGATAAAGTTCCAGTGGAAAAGTTTTTGGCAATAGTTAAAACCCCAAATGGAACAGCAGAAACTATAGCGGATGCTATTGACAAAGAACTGACAAGTCTTGATTTGAACTACAGTAATGTTACAGCCTTCGGATTTGATGGTGCCGCCAATATGGCTGGGAATGTAGGAGGTGTGAGAAGGAAGCTTTCAGAAAAAGCAAAGAGAGATATTCTTTACATTCACTGCAAAGCGCACATTTTGTCATTAGCAGCAGCTTCATGTAGAAATAAAACCAAAAAGGTCAACAGATTTTTTTATGTTTTAAAAGACATTTATAAAATTTTTAGTAAATCGCCTAATAGAGAAAATATTTTGCATGAAATTCAAGCAGTAATAAATGACCCAATTCTTAAGATTCCTGAATGCATTGAAGTGAGGTGGCTATCCCACTATAAGATAGTTAATGCTGTTTTTAGAAGTTTAAAATCTATCATGATGGCTTGTGAGCATATCCATAAGGACGGTATAGATCTTGCATCACTAGCAGGTGGTATTTTGTTGGAAATAAGAAAAACAAGTTTCTTTATCACCTGTTATGTAATGAATGAACTCCTCAGTGCCCTCTCTTATCTTAGTAATACTTTGCAAAAAAGAAATCTTAATCTGGCCAATGTGATTCCTCTCATAACAACAACAAAATTACATCTAAATGATATTGCAAATCACAGCGAAATACTTGATAAGTTTGGGTCTGAAATGCATTTGACTGCTGATGAAGATACAAAAACAACATTAAAACAAATGAAGGAGTATTGTGAAAGCTTAATCAGGTAGGTAAATTGATAATAGATTCAATGACAAATCTATTAATATAATGAAATTTGCTAATCACTTTGAGAGCTTCCAGTCTTTCATTGGTATACAGGACACTGAATTGAAAACAATTTGTGGTTATTTTCCAATGCTTAATGCAGAAGCTATACTGGCAGATATGAAGTCATTTAATTTTTTTATCAAGTCTATGCTGGATAGTGGAATATACAAAGCACACAAAAGTCCATTAATTAAAATCATGGAAGCTGATATAGGATATAATGAACTACAACAGCTTTGTGAAATACTTCTCGTCATCCCTGTTACCACAGCTTCGGTTGAAAGATCTTTCAGCACAATGAATAGAGTTCTTACAAAGACGGGAAAAAAATGCTCCCAGAAACCTTAATGCATTGCATGCTTATCAGTATTGAAGGGCCTGACGTTCCAACAGAAGATTTCTTGGACAAAACGGTAGATTTGTACGCAGCTAAAAAAAATCGCCGAATTCGATTTCTTTAGAACTTAAAACAATTTATTAACAGTAATAATATCATTTAAAATTAAAATTCAATAACTTTTAACTAAAAATAATGTAAAAATGTTTTTTTCTAGCTATTATTATTATTTATTTTTTTTTTGTACCTATATGTATTGAACTTAACATACATGTATTTAAAAATAAGGTTAGGTTATATATAATAATACTATGTGTGTATGTAAAACTTTATGCGAAATGTTGAGTATGACGTATCTATTGAATTATAATGTTCACAGTCATAACAGACTACCTATTACAGTATAATAATGTGATATTGTGTAAATAAAATAATACGTATTATAATTGCCCCTCCGATTTTTTCAAATGGCCCTCCGAAGAAAATTGTCTGAAAGAAACACTGCAAACAACAGTGTGTCTAAAGTTTACTGTGTACAGTTCACAATAAGAATTAAATTTAAAACTTTTACAAATAGGTTTTGCCTAAATACCGAGCCTAGGTAACTACCTATTACATAATTTTGATCACGTTTGACGCTTACAGCACTACGCAGAGGTATAATATAATAGTTAATTTTGGTTATTTAGCTATAGACTGTTACGACTCGTATACCTAATTGATACAACAACAAGTTCAAAGCTAACTTGGTATTTTTTTCTGCGTATTTAATTAATCTCTCCACGAGAGTAGTGTTTTTCTTATTTCAACTAAATACTAATAAAATAAAATTTAACACAACTGCTAATAGGTAACATCAGTTATTTAGATTGAGAATTCTATTTAGTATTAATTTAATTGATTAGTTATTCATAAAAGTCTCATCAATTACAAGTCTAACTGTCAAAGGTCTCAAAAACTCCTCTAAAGTTGAAGGGAAATGCATGATTTTAGTAGGTACCGAAGTATTGTGGATGTCTGTACGAAGGTAAGATTAATGACTTATAGGTAAACGATAGGTTATGGAATATAAAATGTGTCGATAGGAAATTTTATGCAGATTTCATTAAAATGGTCAGTTTAACAAGTATTCAAATAAAAGTCATAATAGGTGCATGCAAAAAACAGAAAGAAAACTAAAATACAATATGAAAATTTGCTGTATCATCAATAATATTCATAGATAATAAAGATATGGATAGGCCACGCATAATATGTTAAATATATTTGAGGCCACGTTCCCGGAGGGGAGCAATTGAGACTCCTTCATCTATAGCCGAGATTGATAGTCGATACTCGATATAGATATACTTTATTTGGCCTCAATTGTTCCCTTCGAAGACCGCTGATAAGACCATCATGTTCTATCACAGACTTCTATATAATACTAGATAAAGTACTCCGTATGATAACCATTGCAAACTATGAAGCCAGTTTTGCTACAGCTGATAACACGGCCGCCATGTTTTCAGTTGGCAAAACATTTCTTTCATTATATGGAATTTATTAGAAATAAGTGGGAATAAATATTTAAATGGTTAAATAAAATAATAAAAATTCTAGATAAATGCATGAAAAATAATTTGTATATTTTAAAAAGAAACAATTAAATATTTAACATTAATGAATAGGTACCAGATATACTAATATATATTATTTTAAATAATATTAACAATACAAATTACAGTTTTTGTTGATTCACAAGTTTTAATTTATAAATTATTAATTAAAAAAAATATGTACTACTTAAAGTACATTAAATACATAAAATAAGTACCTACCTTGGTATATGTATATATATATTGTGACATAAATTAAAGTAAAAGATAATATTATTGATTATTAAATAAAATTAACTTCGTTAGCAAACGACGTTTACTAACAGCCATGGAATTATTTTTTGTCTTAGCAACATAATGCAAACGAATTTTTAAATATTCTTTACATATAATTGTCACTAAATCTAATTTATGACTATCCAATAAACTTTCTTCAGAACATCTAATATTTTCAAAAATATTATAATTAAAAACATAATTTTTTGTTAAAATTATTATTTTAGATGTTAAAGATGAGTTAATAGAAATAAAATTGCTTGTAAAATCAATAAGTTTGTGTTCAACAAACCGAACTATTTTAATAACAGCATCTGAGCATTTAATTAACCCTCCTCTATTTTTTACATCTAATAACATTGAATACTTATATTTATGATTATAATTATGCTCATTAAAATTATTTTCTAATAAATTGTCTGTACAAGTAGAACAGTCAATTTTTTTTATTATGTTTTTCACAATAAAACCACATATGTAGTAAAGTATATTATCTTTTACGACATCAAAATCTTGGCCTTCAAAGGATTTAAATAATGAAATACTTGAAAGAGGTGAATCTTCATTTAATAAATCATTAGATTTTTTACGCCAACGTATTTCAAAAATACTTTCCGATGTATTGTCAAAAGCCATACAATTAGCGGCATAAGATGATGAAATTGCATTTTTTAACAGCATTTTTTTTAGTGATGTTTTTAACTCAACAACATTAGGATTATTGTTGTTCCCAAGTCTTTGGCGGATTTTAGAAAAGAGAATTTCTATATGATCTTGAGAACATTTATAAGTTAATAGATATTTATATTGGTGATTACTATTAAAAAGATCTTCAGCCATAGCAAATACAGATTTTACGGCAATAGTAAATCCTAAAGAATATATAATATTTTATTATTTAGGTATTTATTTATAACTTATAACTTACTATAGAATAATAATGTTTCAATGAACACTTACCTATCAAAAAAGTTTTACGTGGCGTCAGATACAATGGTATACCTTTTACATCAGTGAGAGATAGTAAATATTCTATAATTGACAAAATTATAGTTTTCATACTTTCAATACTTCCTCTGTATAGTGGTTTTTTGAAACCTTTCCCAAAAGGATTTCGAGTATTCAAAAAATCAAATAATCTATCAATTGCCCGAATGAAGTGTATTGTTTCTTTGCCTGTATGTAAAATATTAAATAATATTGTTGATTAATTTAAATCATTAGTAGAACTTAATATACTATTTATAAGTGACAAGTGTATTATTTTTATATTTCTCTTAGATAACAATAAATTTGAAATTACAATTTATAAAATTAGGGTCCTTCAAACTTTGAAAAAACTCGAGGGCGTCAGCTGTTGAAGAGCTTAATGTTTGCGCAGCTAATTTTACCTTCATTATATTTTTTTTCCAGTCCAAATGTGTAGCAGTAAGCTTATTAGCCAAGTTTAATCCAATATTTTCTTGTGCTACATGAGTAAGCAAGCAATAAGCATAAGCAATTATAGAAGGTTGCACAAATTGACAAATTAGAGTATGTTATAATAATTATTACTGTACTGATGATAGATAGTGCGTATTAAATTATAGGGTCTAAAAAATCAAAACTTACCCTTGTGCAAATTTTGTATATGTTTCCAGTCAATTTCACAGTTATCTTTGGTTTTAAATACTTGATACGTAGCCAAAGCATTTCGAGCTAGTTTTAGATTGTGGCACGCATCAGGTATATAATATATCTAAATGATAAAAAAAAATGTATACTATATTATACACTAAATATTATGATAATAATGAAATTTTAATAAATAAATGCCCTACTTTTTGTTCAACTCCTGGTATAGTGAAAAATTCAACTATTTCAGAATATACTCCACTCATTTTACAACCCAATTTTGTCATTGTTGATACATTGGTTGAAGTACCATCACAAGTAACTGCCCTCACACACAACCCTATATCATTTGCCATAGTAATAGCTGTAGTAACTAAACCTGCTTGAATGGCAGCAGTGCTTTTTGCCTGTAAGAAATACCCAATTGGAATTTTCCATTTTCCATTAAGGCAGACTAGCATAAAGACTAAGGCTTCAGTGGCAGGTGTCTCTTGAGACTCAGCATGAATACCACCAAAGTCACAGTAACCCATAAACTTGTCATTATGGTGATCATAAATTATTTTTTTCCTGATTGCCATGGCATCAAAAATTAATGTGCAGTCGCGGTCTTCAGGTTGTACACTCTTTAAGTAGTTGAATACTTCTTGAAAAAATCCAGGATCTGCATTAACAGATGATGTCCAACTTGTAATCGATGAAGGGTGTGGTAAACTTAATATTGAACTAAAAGATAAAAAAAAATTATAAGAGCTTTATTTTGAGCTTACCACTCTAAAGTATTAATAAATAAATAAATATTGTTGTGTATTGTTAATATGAATAATAACACAAACGTATATTATAGTCTTTTATTGTGAAAAGTATAAAACGAACTGACGTACATATAAAATTGTCTACTTGCTAATGACCGATGGACAATCCCCACCGATCGTAATATGATACTTATGATTATTATTATTAGTATACAATGTAAATGCTGAATATGCAATAAATATAATAATACTTTTTAAATTATTATATAACAAAATAATATTTAGTAGTAAATAGTAATAAAGCTATAATTCAAGATAAAATAACTGTACTAAAATAAGTGAACTAGATTCAATGCAAGCATGCAGCACTACGCTTTGAGATTCTATAATAGTAAAGAGCCTATTTATTATATAATTTATGTAAATTTAATAACCGGCAATAATTGTATGCTTTTGGTGAATAATAATGCAATGTTAGAGCAAATTCTTTCATTTCTTGCGTATATCTTCTACCTGTGGTTTTATCATTATTTTTTGCTTCATTTTTAAATAACTCCAAAACATTACCTAGGTACCAAAATAAGCAAAATAATAATTCAAAGAAAGCGATTTACTAAACAAAGCAAAAAAAAACTAAATTATTAAAACTTAAATTATAGATACCATTGAAATTATTTATAATAACATTTTGTTGCTCAGAATCAATATGACCATTATTTTTCAAACTATCAATCAAATCTTCTAAACTGTGTACTTTTGTTTTTGTCC